TTGGTTACACTTGAAAGTGATTTGGATCGTTTTAGACTTTAATTGGCTGTTTGTTAAATCGATCATTTGTTTGCATTTGGGGGGGGGGGGGAGGAAAAAAAAACTGCGAATGCTTTAAGATTGACTTAAAGTGGAACAAGTCATAAAATGCATGCGCACATAAAAAAAATAAAAATAAAAAAAAAGCACCGTCTTAATCTTGCTTTCATTATTTTCCCGAGAGGAGCCGTAATTCTCCTGATATTTAACGTTTAAACTGCGTGACAACGAGTTGGAGCGATAAATATGCGATTTAAAAAAAATAATAAATAAATAAATAAAGTAGGCTCTGCCTGTGTACGTGTGCGCCGTGCAACCACGGCATGACCTCTTTATCACCATTAACTATCAAATATCCCCAATGAGGACAAATAGTGAGCCCTGGAGGGGGAGAAAAAAGATGTTCACCGGGGAATACAAGTTAACACGGCAGCTGGGAGCGAACCTCCTCCATCACTAGTTCTCAGAGCTCCCATTTCCTCGTATTATATCGCAGGAATAAAATGACAAACAGCCTCTGGTTTTTTTTTTAGCAGGTTTCCATCTTCGAACAGCCCGAATCTGCCGGCGGCGGCGGAGGGATACAACAAATTAACGGCAAGTTTAATGCAAAGATAAACATAAAGCGAAGAAGCGAGGGGAGAGGAGGAAAAAAAAAAAAAAAAAAGAGGGGGGAGACGGAAAAAGTACGGGCTACCGTAAATATGTGCTGGTAGTCTTCAAGTTTTTCCCCTTCCTCGGATACTCCTCTTCGTTTTCACGTCGAAAGGGTAAATGTGAAGCGACGTATTCCGAGCGATTTGGTGGTCTCGAGACGAAGGCTGAGGCGCTCGCGCCGAGACATGGAGGACCTGATAACAACTAATTGAAAGGTTAATCTACATACTCAGCCTGTGACAAAGTAGTACCCTCCCCCTTCTTCTTCCTCCACTGTAGACATCCCTGCTACGGTGTAGTGGAGCGGACCGTCGCCCCCTTTTAGTGCGCTCCTACAATGATATTGTCAATTTCACCCCCCCTTTTCCATCAGCACGTCCAGTGATGAGCCAAGAGGAACATTTTCACGCTTTTTTTTTTGGTGGATTAGCCTCTGCAGGCTGCTCAACATTTTTTTTTTTTTTTTTTTTTTTATGTAACTCTCCCTATTAACATCAACGCCCTGTGGGCATTTTAAACTTCCACTGATGTGAGGTTTATAACCCTAAATGTGACTGGCATAAACCCTTATTTTGAAATTGCTCTCTCTCTGACCAGTTTTACTCATGGATATTACCCTAATCAGTTAATTAACTTCAACAAGCTGATGATAAGAGCAGTTTTTCCCTGGCAAATAGTGCAGATGATTCCATTATTTTAAGTTTTAGCTCTCTAAAAGCACCAGAAAGCTCATTTTTCATGCAGTAATACAGATGTAATTAGAGAGATAATTGGTTACTTCTCATCAGATTAAAAATATGCACTGTACAGTATGAGCAGCTTTTTTTTTTAAAGACCTCATGAAAGCATTTCTCCTCCTGTAGAGGCATATTTAATGTGTAATTTGATTTGCATCTGACTAATACAAGCCTTAATAGCCTCGTCATCATTCTCCTCGTTTGCTTTGATGTTTTTATTGACCTAGCTCACATTTATGAAATTTAACATCCTCCTGCTTTTCATTCATTGACATTCATTCACAGCTTGTTTAGTTTGGCAAATAAAATAGTCAATTTGGGTGTTTTTTTATGGGGGCGGTGGGGAAAAAACACATTAAAGCAGGTGAAATGTGAATAAAAGGAGCAAGAATTTGAGGCTTTTAGGAGTGGTGTCATGATGAAAGGGCTGACCAAAAAACCTGCCTGTGTCTGGCTGTAATGAATGCCACCCTGGGCCCCCCAGCAGGTCCTCCAGTGCTGCACGGGGTCCAGGGATAATTTGAATTGGAGCATGTGCCATTGGAGTTTACCCATCCCCCACTTTATTCCTCAATCCCTGCCAACTGCCACACAAACACTGCTGCCCATCTGTGGGGCAAAACACTGGCCAGGACCCCATTACTCCTTTGCATGTATTAAAAAAATAATAATTTGTAAAGTCACTTTTGGAGAAAAACATCACAAAGTCATGATTGTTTGCCCCCAATACAAAGTTGTATGCATTTGATGGTGGACACAATAACGCTCATATTAAATATGCTCAAACGGTCGATGAGCTTAAAGATCACGCATCGATGCGAAGACTTTTGAAAATGTCGTTCTTCGTTCAGTGAGAGGTAAAAGTTTGCCGGGGGAAAGTGAGAGGAGTAGTTTCCCCTCATTGTGGCAGGCGTTCTCATTACTTAATCATGGCTCTCTCTTTTTGTGTTTGTGTTTTGCCATCTGTCATCTTGAGAAGCAAATGAACCAGCTGCCACCGAGTGTGATCTTGCCCAATCAGAAATGTGGCCCTTTTCAGAGCGCATCTGTGTAAAACCTTTAAAAAAAATTAATTAATTTTAAAAAAGTGTCTCAAAGTTGTTAAATAACATTCTGGATTGAGGATGTTTTTACCTATAGATGACCAAAATTAGCATTAACTGAACAGGGTTCGTAAAACCTGGATTTCCTCCAGTGTGCTAAAAATAATAGACGACAAGAGGAACAAAAATGTTATCTGTGGAACAGATGAGCGCTGAATTGTTTCAAACACTTGAGACTCTGACCAACAATCCTTTTGGCTTTGAGTGAGAGGGTCCCCCCCGTCTGATCCCAACCGTCCGCCCCCCAGGCGACAGCACAGCTGGGCACGAAGGATCAGCCTAATTTCCAGGTCCCTTTAATGGTCGTAGCGAAGAGCAACCACTAATCCCTTAAAGTGAGAAAAATGATCTCCTGCAGCCCAGCAGCGCCAAGACACATAGGACAGTCTGGTTAGGACCCCAACAAGAGTTGAATGGTGGGGGGGTGGGGGTGGGGGGAGGACTTAATTATGGAATGTCACCTGTCTCTACATTGGTAGAGGAATATCATGTAATGTTTCTTTCTTTCTGTAAATGTAACTTTAAGAAATAGAAAAGGCATATCATAGTTTTCGCCATATAAGTTGCACCTTTTTGCATAAATTTGCAAGTCCTGCGATTTATACACCGAAGCGACTAATATACGTTTTTTTCCCCATATTTATATTATAACCCAATTTTTGGCTGAGATTTGACAATTTCATTCATTTTGACATGGAAACTATTGAACACTACCATTTTCAGCCACTAGAGGGCCCTCGAGTAATATGGCAAGCCAAGTGTCTCATTAATAGGTAAAAGTGGCTATTAATGAGAGACTTGGCTTGCCATACAAAGCCACCTTTGTCTCGCTCTGGAACTCCTGGAGCAAACGTGAAGTCAGCGAAATGCAGCTGATTTGACCGTCAAAGTGCATTTATTAAGGAAACGTTCAACTGAGACACACCTTTGATATAATGTTGAGCAAACAAATGACTGTTTTAATTGGTAATCTTGTTACATTCTTGTTAAAGTCCTCCCGTGCATGCTCCTGCGGCCATCATTTGGCAGCCAATTGATTTTTGGCACAACACTAGCCCATGTTTCCAGGTGGTTAGCGGTGACGCATAACAAATGTGATGCGAAGCAACTTTTTTTTTTTTTTCACTTTATTAGACATTTTTGGACTGATGCAACTTATACGGTGGAAAATACCGTAACATCCCCGAAGGAATGCATACTGCCTTTGGTGCCAGAAACCTACACTAAAATCCTCTTATAGTGGGAATGGCTGTAGTTTTAGCCCTTTTGATGAAACTTTAGGACGTTGTGCATGACTTCACGCAATATTGTGAGACCTTGCAAGATGTGTCAAAGTATGTGTTTGGAATGATTCTCAGATACTACCACACCAAATGTGAATCAGTATCTGAAAAATTGGTCGGGTTATAACTTATAACCTTATTTGTGTTTCGTATGATCAATTAGCTGTGGCAGCCATGTTGAATTTGATTGATTCAAAACGTTAATCAGATCTAGATGTGCAGCCAGGGATTACTTTCAGAGAGTTTCATTTAAATCTGTCCAGTGGGTCATGGGATATTTTGCTAACAGATAGACATAGATGACCCAAATTGTTAATGGCAAAGTTTTTAAAAGCAGTTCTTGTGCAACCAATCAGCACTTGAAGTATGTATTGGGAATGATTCTCAGCTACTACCACATCAACTTTTAGCTCAAGGTGGTTTTAAATAAATATTAAACCATCAATATTAATGATTATTTAATAATATCTTCATCATGTATTAAATAATATTCTGAAGGGGCTACAGAACATATTTTATTACACACAATCACAAAACTTTCCACCTGCAGGCAAAGTTGTATCCGTACTTTAAAAATGCACCACTTATCATCACTTTTACTTCCTCGTAGCTCAAAAGCTGTAAAGGAAGATGTGTCATCTGCAATTTCCTGTAAAAAATTAAGTTTAAAACGTCACTAAGAAAAAAAAAAGAAGAAGATCATATTTTTAGATGGTTCAGCAGATGTTCTTTTACATTTTTTGACCACAAGCTGGTTGTAATTATTAAATGAAGGGGCAGAAAAAACAATCATTTCTACAAATAAATAGTTTTAAGCTGCTCTGAATTCATGTATCAGTGTCTTTAGTTGGTGAATAAAGAAATTATAGTATGTAACACCAAGATCATTCATTGGAAGCAATGATGAGGTAATGCAGAGACTGTTTCAAACCATTGTTTTAAACCCGAAGGAGTTCAGTTTTTGTTTTTAAAAAACACATTTTGTTGGAATGCTACATTGTGCATAAATGTAGTCCAAAGCTTAAATTGACTAAAATCATTTTACAATATCTGAGTTGCTTTTTAAAGCCTGATAAAATAGTCAAGTAGCAGAAATTAGTGCCAAAAATCAGTTTTACATAAAAAAAGAAATGTACATAAAACCCTGAAGCATAAGGATTTAGTGAGGAAGAAAAACGGGCAGGGAGTTCGGATTTCATCAGTGAAAATCAGGTTTCTCTGGGAAAGTGCATCCAACCCGTCGGATGATGACATGGGCTGCGTAGTGTCCGGCCCGAATGCATTCCTCCAACCCTTGCTCCTGGACCAACGCAGAAAGGAATCCTAGGTAGGCAGACAAACAGCAATTTAGAATCAAGAATCAAAATAATCCACGTTTCATCCGCACGACAGCTGCTTTATGCAGTGCTGAGCAGATAACACAATATCAAAATGTTAGATTATTTAAAAAAAGAAGAAGAAGCTGTGTAGATAATAATAATATACCTCCCACAAAGGCGTCTCCTGCTCCGTTGGTATCAACGATATCGTTCTGGTCGATGTCCAAAACAGGAAACATGATCACGTTGTCACCTGTGCTCAGAAGAAACATATCACGGTTCAGTAAAACACCTTGTAAAACTTGGTGGAAAAGTTTTCATTCATGCACAAAACTCAACTGTATTTGGCTTTATTTCACAATTTATTTGATGTTACGTTGAGAATTTAACCTTCTTAGTCGAACCCTTGAAATAACATTACATGCATGTTGCATTATTATACAATACGTTTACATATGTGTGGTGGATGACTGTCAGCGATCACGCTAACTTTTAAATGAATATTAAAATATAAATGGATGAGTTGTTGCCATTTTTGTGTTTTAAGGTTAATGTGCTGCAGCACTCCTTTTTAACCGGATAACATTATCGCCATTTTTTCTCAAGCTATGCGTGATAACAATAGAGGAGCAAAAACTCCGAAGCTACTACCACTCATGATAAAGGAACAAGTTTTATTTTACGTGCTCTAAAGTTAATTTTAAATTAGACTTCCTGTGTTCGTGAAGGAGCTGTTCAGAATGTTCAAAAAGTGGTGTGATAGGAGACAACAAGCATATACAGTATACACCAGTCGACCAACCTTATTATACAGCAATCTATAGCAAAGACCTTGTTTGACCTTGATTTGTGACCTTGCCTTCGTGGCTGGGGTGCTGAAAAGTGTCACTCCGTCTAGTGATAATGCAAAAGCAAATCAAGTTTCGTTAAATTATCTTAAGCGTATCAGAAGTTATGGGTGGGACGAGAGAATCTTTTAAGCGCGTACGTAGAATTTACCAAAATGCATCCAGCTTTCAACGAACGAATAAAATTGGAGCAAAAGAGCCAACCCAAACTAACCCAGTGTCCAACGAGGTTCAGCGTAAAAGTGTGCCAACCTACACTGCCTGGCTAAAAAAAAAAGTCGCCACCAATAAAAAAGGTCACACTAATATTTTGTTGGACCGCCTTGAGCTTTGATTACAGCATGCATTCACTGTGTCGTTGTTTCAATAAACTTCTTCAATGTCACAACATCTATTTCCATCCAGTGTTGCATTAATTTGTCACCAAGATCTTGCAGTGATGACTAGGCACTAGGCATGATGGGTGCATCACTTCACCTGCCTCTCTTCTTACCCTGATGCGCCCATCACTCTGGAACAGGGTAAATCTGGACTCATCAGATCACATGACCTTCTTCCATTGCTCCAGAGTCCAATCTTTATGCTCCCTAGCAAATTGAAGCCTTTTTTTTTTTCCAGTTAGCCTCACTGATTAGTGGTTTTCTTAAGGCTACACAGCTGTTCAGTCCCAATCCCTTGAGTTCTCTTCACATTTTGTGTGTATAAATGCTCTTATTTTCATTATTAAACATAGCCCTGAGTATTACTGTTGTTTTTCTTCTATTTGATTTCACCAAATGTTTAAGTGTTCGCCGATCACGATCATTCAGGAATTTTTTCGGCCACATTTATTCCTCGAAGACGATGGGTCCCCACTATCCTTCCAGTTTTTAATAATGTGCTGGACAGTTCTTAACCCAATTTTAGTAGTTTCTGCAACCTCCTTAGATGTTTTCTCTGCTTGATGCCAATGATTTGACCCGTCTCAAACAGACTGATATCTTTACCACAATCATGCAATGTCTTTCAACATGGTTGTTTAAGAAATGAGAAGCAACTCATTGCACCAGTTGGGGTTAAATAACTTGTTGCCAGCTGAAAGATAATCGCCCATGCAGTAATTATCCAATAGGAGGTTCATCCATCAATCCAGGTGGCGACTTTTTTTGGGGCCAGTCAATGTATTTGAGACCTACAATATTTATTGTTGTGGAAGGCAATGCTTTCGGAGAAGAGACCTTCATATTTTTCCTTCCTGCTTTCAGTGAAGGCGGACGCATTTTCCTCAAGCTCCTTCTCCTGTTATTATTGTGTCATCTGTTGCTTTTTTTTTTGTGCTGAGGTTTATTGCAACCTCACACTGTGTCCTGTTAGGGATACAGTGTGAGATATGATATTTTTTACCTATTCTTTCCCTCATGTCCTGTTTTACTTATCTAACGAAAAAAGGCAGCGCCTCTCATGAGGCTGCAGCCTCAGACACCTGTCTTCCCATGTCTAGTTTAGTTGTTTGTGTTTCTTTGGACAGGCTGCACTGAAATGAACTTTCACTCTGATTCAGTGCAGTGACAATAAAGGCTGATTCTGATAGAGCGGCCTTCTTTATACTTGTGAAAAAGACAAGACTCGAGATGGAACCTTAAAAGGATTCAGGGGCCACTGTGGTGAAGAGGTAGGGCAGCCGACTTGGGACCAGAAAGTCACGGGTTCAACTCCCCGCCATGCCCGCATGTCGTGGTAGAGAACTAATTTAGTCATTGTATAGAAACATACAACGATAACAACACGTAGCACTTTCTTCTTCTTTCTTTAAAGTAAATTTAGCTAACAGAATAAAACCACCCAGAGATTTTTACAGATTACGTTTACGAGGTGTTTAAAAAATAAACTCTTAGTTGATTTTAGATTTCCAGCATGTGTGAATTGGTAAAAGTCTGCTACATTACGTCATAAAAAAATCCATCAAAGAGGCATCAAAATATCTTCTATCCTGAAAATAGCACTAACTGTTAATGTGTACGATGTAATAATTTTAAACATTGTAATCAACGGTATTTAAAAAAGGCGCAGAATAAGCAACACACACCCTGCACCTGTGCACATACTACACATGCATGGCGTTCACCCCTCCAAGCAGACTAAACCGTACTATATTAAGAACAACTTGTCCATGCTGCTTGCAGCTGTCGGTGCGTCCACAAAGTCTGTCACAAATATTATCATCTGGTTTATATCTTGGATCATCTTTCAGTTTTCCAAAAGCAAAGTGAGTAAAACCCCATAGAGGGTCAACAAACTGGCAAACACGTATATTTCTATGTATAAATATATAGAACTAGAGGAAAATCAGCAATTATAATGTTGTAAACTATTATCATATGTTGACTTTTTAATATAATTATGAAAACTGTTCATCTCTGTGAGCGAACAAATAAAATGATTGACTATTGTTTCAGTGCAAACAGGAAAACAAAGGAGCCGTTAGCTTATTAGACAAGACGACGAGCTTTAGGTGACTACTGCGCTGAATTAAAAACAGTGCAAGGTGAGCGTAATGGTCTCTTTCAAAAGTGAATTCATTAAATGAAAGTGTCTTCATTATCTTCAGTGGATTTTATAGCATCGATTACCAGCACTTCAAAGAGCGTTCCAGTTTAAATCAGAGAGGGGTGGGGGCGGGGGGGGTAACAAAAACCTACCAGATGACAAAGTCTTAAGGTGCAGAGGGACATTAAATTAGCAACTTATGTCAGAACAATCTAAACCACACACACAATCTTCAAACAATCCAAGGGCTCGGGTGCAGACGTGAACCTTCAAAAAGGTGTCGGAGACAAAAGACTGACATGTGGATGAAAGGAACACGAGGAGGCTGACAGAACTTTTATTGAGAGAAGAGGCCGGGAGTTTAAGGAGAACATGGGGGAAAAAAAAAACCAAAAAAACATATATATATATATATATATATATATATATATATATAAGTTTAACAAGGCCCCCTGCTATCTGAGAAAGATTCTTGGACTCTGTGCTGCACATCAATTTTTTAATACATTAAAATTGTTGTGAGCAAAACATGCTCTCATCCTGCAGCTGAACAACTCCTGATGTCAAGTGAAGGACTGGTAGACACTAACTGAAATAGAAACATTGTGGTTAAACAAAAGCCTCTCTGAAGAATAAGAGATTGAGACTATATCAAAGTGTCTGAATGTGTCTTTATAACAGTTCTGGTTCTTTTTAACCAAAAACAGCCGACGGATAAAACATTACAGCATAGGAATATTCAGAATCAGTTAATTAACGGCGTGACGACTTCACTTAATTAATGCCACCGATGAAGCTTGAGAACCCCCCTCCCCCTTGAAATGATTAACCACACATAAAAGTGTGTGCTAATAATAAATTACAGTTTGTCAGTTTTTCTGCTGTCGGGAAACTTTCATTAGATGTGGTCGTGCTAATGTGACACGCTTCGTAGCTCTGAAAACCGGATGCTTTAAAAGGTTGAAACGGCTGCACTTGCTCTGCACTGAATCTGGAGTTCATTAAAAATAATAATAAGAAGAAAAAAAAAGAGTCAAACAAAAGCAAAAGGGTGTGAATATGTCCATGGTAGTTAAAACAAATGGGAAGGGCAAAACAGGAGTTAGGTCTTATTAGAACGCCAGGCGGATAATTTCCCCCACATAATGTGATGCTCATCTTCATTCAGAAGTGTCAGAATTCATTAAACACAAATGAGATTATGTTTTACACGTGTTGGTATGTGTGGCAATTAGCACTTCTGATTCGAGATTTTTTTTTCCCCTCTCAATATTAAACTCTGTAAAAGTTGGAAACTTCACTGGAAAGTTCAAGGGTGTTGGAAGGAAGGCTCTGACTGACTGTCGGACCTTGGGTTCAGGGGTAGTGGTTGTGGCTTTTGTCTGGGCAGTGGACGATGGACCAGAGCATCACTCTTGCAAAGGTCCCATGGAGGTCATAGGAGCTGCTTCTACAGTTTATTGGCCATTTTCCATTAGTAACGGTACAGCACGGTTTGACTCGATTTGGCATGGTTTCAAGGCTTTTCCACTAGCACTTTTTCATGGAATCGGCCCCTTTTTGAGTCCCTTTATTTCTGGGGTTCCAACCGTGCCGAACTGGTCCTAAAATGTGATGTCAGAACACTGTCGGTCACTGATAGGTCAGGGGTTGGAGTCACTGGTTGTTTGAGAAACTTTCACAACAACCCAATCCGCCATTTGCAATAACTCAAACTGAAGGAGCGACTGGACCTATTTTTAAGATTTTGAAAACAATAATGACAACATGGTGGTCTAGGGGGCCAAGAAGGCATAGGGCAAGGTAGCCAACTCGGGACCCGAAGGTTCTGGGTTTGATCCCCGATCATTGCACATCTCGTGGTGTCTCTGAGCAGGAC